CATTGAACTCACCAACAACGGGATTTACAACCGCTGTGCACAGTATTCTCTCAGGTTCATAATGTACTACGATCAACCGGGCGATAAACCTATGAAAGTGAGCCATATAATGTTCTTAAGATGACTGCATTGGGATTATATCCACATCTGAATGAAAAAGCTTACTGTGCATTGAGCACTTAGTGGATTCTCGTTTACTCTTATCTTCTTGTTAATAGTTCAACAGTAACTGGTCACAAAAATATCCATTCACGAAAATAACTCTTTGATGGATACACTAATTGATGTAGGCTGAACAAACAACATTGTGTGGCAGAGGGTGACCTCAAGAATCGTGGAATTTCATCTCATTTGCGTTATTTAACCGTCGAGCTAGGCAATCGCCTCAGACGGTGGTGGCCTGGTGGTAACGTCACCAAATTACTACCTCGGGGTGTGTTTTCGAACCCCACCACAACCGCCTGAATTTCCTCATAGCAGCCCTTTGAATGGCCGCTTCCCCCTTCCTGAAATTTGTATCATTTTGTATTCAATAAAAGTAATTAAAATTTAAAGAAAGAAAAGAAAGAGACGGTAACTCCTAAATTTGTCTACTCATGAGTAAATCGTTTCTGAAAATAACGTAAGTATTGCGTTGGGCTAAGCGAATCAGCATTCGATGCCATTGACTTCAATGCAGAATCTCGGTCAGGCGCTGTGGTTACAAAAAACTGAGAAAAAAAACAAGAAAATAAAAAGGAAAAAAGCGATTTAAATCCCAAAACTGGTTACTAGTTCTGTGAAAACGTGTTCTTTGTTAACGCTCTGATGGGTGCTTTTTTCGACGGTACTTGTGAGGTGCGTTGTTAACATTTTGAACACCGTTTGGGAATACATCGACTTATCCAAGTCTACCATAATATCTGTATACGATCACAGTATAGAGAGGGGAAAACATATGTGCACATCAAATCTCATGAGGCCACATGAACGTGTTGAAAAGACTTTCCCCAAAACAAGGGTGTTTTGAAAGCCTTTCGGACCGTGTGCAGGCATACGCAACAAGACAAACTGGTTTCCGGGAGCGGTATTCAATTCGCTGATAAGCGGAAGGCCATATCAGAGAATATATCCCTGACGATGAAAAGGTATTTTGCAACCAAGTCGGTTTCAAAACAGGAACATGTCCTGACCGATTTATGACTTGGACCAGGAAGAACAACTATGATCTGAGTGTATGACGACCGGCAAAGATTCTATGGGTGTCCGAATGTCATCAAGAGCGACTTATTGAGTGGGCAATGCATCGGAGCGCAACACTACTGGTTGCAGTATTTCACATAGATATTGAAAAGCAGCTCCTTGACCACATTGGAGGATTAAAGGAAAATATGTGAATCCGCCTCAACCGTGAATCCAAAGATGGAATTTCGCACTCAACGACGATGGCAAACGTAAGGCCAGTGCTGGCACAGATGCATTCTTGACACGCTATTTATTGAACTGCTTAGGTCGTTTTGGAAAACGAAACCTTATTCCTCCTCATTCGATACATTCGGAGGTCTTTTCTATTTCCGAGACAGTATGAAAATCGACTGCGTGAGCTAGTATTATGGCTATCCAGTTGATTTAAATAACGAACCTTAGGGGTACATATTACGTGCAAAACGTTTTTCATTATGCATAACAGCCAACCGGAGAACAATATACTTTTACATTCCAATCTCATTTCTGCGAAGAGACACTGGAACATGGTGTTTATCAAAAAACGTTCGAAGTTTGAAAACTCATAGTCGCGATAACAGGTCAAGTGTGGTCTGGTTTTCCCGTTGCGGAATTTTTCGTCAGTCTCGTTGTTCAGTCTGTAATACAATACATAGCGCGCAATGTGACCTTTGTAAAGCAAAACATAATATACATAAAGTCCGTGTGTATAGTCATTTATTTGTGTTGCGGTTTGTAGAGTCCTCGTGATAATTTTGTTGAGATCGGCACGTTTCAGGTGAAGTCAGACTTAGTTGCTAATCTACGCTGTGTAGACGCTAACCACTGGTTTGACTAGCACAAACATCGTACAGTGTGATTATTTAAACCTCCAACGTAACTTCACTAAATCATTGTTTAAAAGAATGTGTTGTCCGCTCCACAGAAACTTCAATGTTCATAGATTTTCATAATTAGTGGATTGCGTTGTACCCCATCACTGATCAAACACCGTTGTATTATTCAATAAATAATACTGAAGAAAAAGGCTTTTACAGACTGCACAAAATCTGATTTCAGGTAATTGCCTTAGGTTACTCCCGAAGGAGTGAGAATAAATGTTTGACGCTTCTCGGGAAATGTTTATTTCGACTTTGTTAGTTTTCATCATGTAAACGGGTATTGGTTAGAAACTGATATATTCTCTCGCTCCTGCCACATTGACAACGTCTTCATCTTCATAATCCTCTTCCTCCTCCTCCTCTACAACAGGTTCGAGGCCCGATTCTTCAGGCACGGTCAAAACCTACAGAAACGAAAAACAAATTTAGTGTAGCGCTTCACACAAGAAAATCTTCAGGGCTATTCCGTGGATTGGGCGATACGAAAATTCAAGCAAAGGCAGATTGAAAAGTATAAGGGATAAAAAAACTTCGGTGAGCACATTATGCTACTGAGTCAACTAATTTTCTGCTAATTAGTCCCAAAAGAACGAATCAGCTACATAATGACCTATGTTGGCTACCACAATGCTAGTACGTGGACTGTGAAAGCATGCGGTCTAAAGACCTATTAGCCTTCAAAATATAAGCACAAATAGAAAAATGTGGTAATGGAGTCGAATCTCACTGATCCGTTAACGGCTGCCATGGACAACTGTGTCTACAGCTCGATGGGTGTGGGTGACACGAAAAGCTTGGAGCAAATCGATGGATGGAGATTGAACTCTGGTTAAACTCAGACTCATGATTGAGGATAAACATGTTTAGA